AAATCTTCGTGCCGTCGATCTCTGAATCTCCTGATATCCCCGGGATTCTGCCCCTGATTGGCCGTCGACCCGTCGGAGAAGCACGACCATCCATGGGGCACCAGCTGGCAGGCCGCTTGCTCGTTTGCCGTTCCTCCTGTGCCTCAAGGCGCTGCCAGTCCGCGGCCCAAAAGCCTTGCGAGCGCGGCAGGGGCCAGGCTGAGACCCTACCCACCACGTCCTGGGGAGGCCTTGCACCCTCCGCACCCAGATTCCCCGGCCTCGCCACCTTTTGCGGGCGAGCAGACGCCCAACTAATAGGCCCTGGCTCTCTCCCTCCTCGAAACCCTCCCTCCTCCCTCCCTCGATCTCCCAAAAATGTGTCGGTGCGCTTTCCTCTCTCATTCTCCCGCCCACTCTCCCTCCCTTTCGCCATCCGTGGCGTAAGATGCGGAAACCAAACACTACCAATACCGCTACTCTCCGGGCCTCTGCCGGAGTGTGTGTTCGGACCAGGGATTCGCTGCGAACCCAGCGGTGACGACGAGAGCCTCCCAGGAGGCCCAGAACGCGGAAAACCATGGAAGGGCAGCTGGGCGTGGCCCCTCGTCTCTCCCACTGGCGGTGGCGTGAGTGGCGCGGTCCTCATGCCACGCGGCGCCACCCGCCGTGCCCCCCCCGCTGTCACGAGCACGCGCACCGCGAGGCCGCGACGCGCGCCGCCCGCCGTGCCTCCTCACTGCCGCGAGCACGCGCACAGCGCAAGGCTGGGGACGACGACGCAGGGAAACGGAGGGACAAACTGAAGGGGAACTGGGACACACAAATAAATACACGCAAATAAAAAGATTCCCAATATTTTCCCATATTTTCTGGCTTCCTGTCTTCCCCCCCACTTCCCATATTTTCCTATATTTTCTTGGGGATCGACGATAAATTGTGTCTGTGTGTTTTTTCCCCTCCTGAATAAGGCTGGGGACGACGATGCAGGGAAACGGAGGGACAAACATCCAGAGGGGGGTGGCGCAGCGCAGCGCCAGGGACGAGGACGCGAGGAGACGACAGGGGTCGATGACCGCAAGGGGGACGGGCAACGCGACGCAAGGAGACAACACGACGACTCGAGGAGTGAGAGTGCCCACAGGAGGGGCAACGCAACGCCGGCGACGAGGACAACGGCTCCATTTGCGGTCGAGTGTCCGAAGGGCGCGGGGATCTCAGGCCTGGCACACGTGTTTGCCGTCGACTTCCAGGCGGGGCGCTGCGACGCCAAGGCCATGCTTTTACCATCTGCTTGCGTTCGATCGGCCTGATATAAGCTTGCCCTCAATTGCGCGGCCCGTCCGCCGAGAAAGCAACGGACTGCCAACGGGTGCAACATGTCCAGTTAGTCGTATGTTTGCACAATAAATGCACCTTGCAGCAAAGAAAAACAGATTCGGCCAACGAGAGCCCGAAAACGGCCCCAGAGGGCTCCAGGCGTTCCGGCGCGCCCCAGGAACGACCCCAAAGAGCCCCAAGACGGTCCACGACGACCCCAAAGAAGCCGTCAGACCCCCAAAGATCGCTCCAAAACGTCCCAAGAGGCCTCCAAGAGCAACCTCAAGAAGGCCCAAAGAGGCAAAATTAATTTCTGTCCGTTTTTGGTGAATTTGGGGGTTCTCCTCTTTTCGGCCTCCCCACGCTCCAAGGCGGCGGTCTTCTGGGCGTGGGAAGCCGCCTGGGAGGCTCGAAAATCGCCCCACAACCATCCGCAAGGGCTTCCAGGCAGTCCAAGAGAGCCCCAAGACGGCACAACAAGGTTACAAGATGGCCTGAGAGAGCCCCATGACGGCCCAGGATGGCCCCAAGACACCATCCGAAGCATTCCAAATCGTGACCCGGTCGTCCTGGGAGACCGCGGTTGGAGGCAGGGTGACACGAGGAACCCCGAGAGGACCCCAGAAGACGCCCAGGAGGCCGCCAAAGGCCTGAAGAAAGCTTGAAAAACTGATGTGAGGCCCCCAAAGGCTGTCCAAGGAGGACCCTCCGCAAAAAGAGCTGAGGAGGATGGGGAGAATACACAGGATATCGCGAGAATGAGGAAAAAGAAACATGGAGGAAGGATAACAAGTCACCTTCTTATAACAGCGATGCCTGAAAAATGCAACAATGAGCTATCGCCAAACTGTCGGCCCGACTTCCCTGCCAGTCCGCCTGCACACCAAACTTCAAAGACCAAGGTGCATGGCGCGAAGCGCCAATGCAGTCTTGTGCATATATATATATAGAGAGAGAGAGAGAGAGAGAAAGAGAGAGAGAGATATATATATAGAGAGAGAGAGAGAGAGAGGACCAAACATGAATAAGCACACAAAAAAAGGCAGGGGTAAGGGCATGACGCGGGCAGCAGGCCCTGAGCGACTGCGCGCAGCTCCGCGAGCCCCTCCGGGGACGCGTCGCGCGAGGCGCTCTCCCCCCCCGCGCCCTCGACGCCCAGGGGCCTGGCGCCCTGGCCCCCGCCGCCACTCTCGGAGGGCTCCTACAGTCGAGGCGTTGACCTAAGGAACCCCAAATAAGGAATGAGGCCCCTTTTTCCCATAAGTTCAACCTCGACTTCCGATGGAAAACCGCGGGAAAACCCGAGGCAAACTTTGAAACAATCAAGGAACACCGAGCCCCTCTCCAACGAAAAATAAGGAACGAGGCCCATATTTCCCAGAAGTTGAACTTCGATTTCGTGTCGAAAACCTCAGGAACATCCAAGGCAAGCTGCGAAACACTTAAGGAGCACGGAGCCCCTCCCCAACGAAAAGGGTTCCTTCTTCAGGGCCCCGACTGTAGCTTCGCGCTTCGCGCTGCGCGAAACGCGAATCCCTTCGCACTTCTGCACCCCCCCCCCGGGGACGAGACGGGGGGCTCGCAAAGCACGAAGCGCGAAGAGCTTCGCGCCTCGCTCTGACGTCGCCCAGATCGCGAAGCGCGAAGCGGGAATGGCTTCGCACCCTCGGAGGAGCCCTTGCTCGGAGCAGGGCGACTCGAGGCGTGCGGTCCAGAGCTGCGGTCCAGAGCTGCGTCTGGTCGTGGCGCCCCCCCCGCTCGGCCCCCGGCCCTGTCCGGCGCGCTCTCCTTGGTCAGCAGCGCCCCCCGCGCCCTCATCGCCGCCTCCAGCCGCGCTCGCGACACGAGTCCTGGGCGCGCGCGCGGCGGCGATCCAGCGGCGCGGCTCTCCTTGAGGGTCGGGAGGGGCCGGCAGCTGGCATCGGCGATACGTCGCCGCTGGGTCGGCGACAGGCCCGACAGCGAGCACGCGCGGTCCTGCGCAGGGTGGGGCGTCACGCCCCCGTCGGCGATGGATGGGCGATGGGGGGTCGATGCGCTTCCCCCTGAGCCCATCCCCCCCTCACGCTGCGCCTGACCCCTGAGGCCTCGGCGGTGAGGAGGAGGAGGAGGAGCCGCACCCCCACCTTTCCTACCGACACCGGCACCCTCCCCGAGTTTCAGCATCTTTTGGGCACCATGGGGGGGGGCCTCGCCTGATGACGCTGTCGGCGTGGCGCTGGTCAGAGGCCTCCTAGATGGGGTCGAAGCAGATGGGGCCCGAGGCTTGCGCCGCACCGCCGATACATCGGCGATGCACCGGCGATGCATCGTCGACGCCGGCGGTGCATCGGCGACGTCAACGTGGAACACATCGGGCTCCACCTCGAGCCGCATCGCCGCTGCGTCGGCGACGCGGCACGATCCTCGGGCCCCAGCGGAGAGGCCTGGAGGACTGGCGCTGGTGTCCCCCAGAGGGGTGACGGCAGGAGGACGCGTCGCCGCCCCCGCGTCCTCGACCTCGTGGCCCGGCGCCGGCTGGGCGACAGGAGCTCGTCGATGCCGCTGCGGTTGCTTCTGGACCTTTCTGTGGCCCTGGGGTCGTTTGGGGCCCAGGGCCTCCACATCTCTCCTCCGCGGCCTGAAATGACGTTCCCAGACGGTCCCGGATCCCTGCACGATTGTCTCAAAGCGCTTGCGATGGCTCCAAGGCGCCCCAAGACGCCTTCGAGACGCCCCAAGACGCCTTCCTAAAAGGGCCCCGAGAGGCAAACATCAAGCCCTCCGACTCGCCACGACAGCCGAACAGGCTTCCACGAGGCCTGCGTGGGTGCCTCTGGGGCCATCTGGGGGCCTCCGGGATCTCTTGCGCTCTATGGCCCGTCTGGGTGACTTCTCTCTCGGGACCGATCTGGGGGGGCCTTGGCCCCTGATAGGCCCCGCTCGGGGCTCCCCTGGGCCGTCCTTGCCCCTGAGCGGGCGTGCCGTGCCGGAGGGCCTTCGGGGGCCGAGCTCTTGGGGGGAGTGCTGGAGCGGCGGTGGGGCCACCTCGGGCCGCCCTGCGCGCGTGGGCGCGATCCTGGGGGCTTTCCTGGAGCTGCCCGGGGCACTCCGCAGCCCGCGCGGGCGAGCATCACGAACACGTTGCGCTCCGTCGTCGGCGCCAGGCGTGGCCTCCACACTTGCTCGACCCGAGCAGCCCGCATATAGAGCCGCTCGAAGTGTTCCCGCGGGAGGCCCGAAAGAGAGCCCGCAGAGCCCGCCGTGGCCCGAGCAGAGTCCGCCTCCGGCCCCCCCTCTCCGGCACGACGCGCGCACGCCGGCCAGCGTCCCCCAGCAACTAAAGGGAAATTAGGACACACAAATAAATACACACAAATAAAAATAGTCCCCATATTTTCCTATATTTTCTGGGTTTTTGTCTTCCCCCCCCCACTTTCCATATTTTCCCATATTTTCCTGGGGATCGGGGATTAATTGTGTCTGTGTGTTTTTTCCCTCCTGAGCAACCCCTGCGAGAATCCCCACGACACCCCCCGCGTGAAGTCAGCATGCATAGCGTGTTTCGGGCTGGGCGAAAGGGGGGGATGTAGCAAAAAGGGGGGGGGGGGGGGGGAGAATCCGCTCCACGTAGCGGATTTCCCCGGCGCCTCCCGGCGCCGGAGAGGCGGCCGTGTCTCGAGGCATGGGCCCCTCGGTGGGGCCGAGATCAGCTGCAGGCAGCAAATTTCGTAGCCCCCCCTTTCCCTATCCCCGCCCTGCCCGACTGCTCTGCCAGGGGTCCGCTCTCGCATGTTCGCGTGGCCCTGCCCCGAAGAGCCCCGACAGCCCGAGCAGCCCGCGTAGCGCAGGGGGCGCGCGCCAGGGCGCACGACGCGCGAACGCTGGCCGGCGTCCCCCAGCGCCCACGCGAGAATCCCTAGCCCAGGACCCCCCCTCGTAAAAACTAGATCTTCCGCCTCGCATCGATTCGCATTTCCGGATGGCTTCCCCTGGAGCGAACATGCCTGGATCGACCAGAGCGGACTTCCGGTGTCTCCCTCGGGAGTGTCTCCTGCGGCCTCCTTGGGCCTCTCTGGAGGCTTCCTGCGGCCCTCTGCTGGTCCATGTCCTGCAGCAGGGGAGGAGGCGGAGGAGGCGGAGGCGGAGGCGGAGGAGGAGGAGGAGGAGGAGGCGGAGGAGGAGGAGGCGGAGGAGGAGCCTCGTGGCCCTCCTGGAGCCCCTCTGGAGCATCCTGTGGCCTCCTGGGCCCTCCTGCAGCCTTCGGGTGCTTCCTGGGGCCTCCAGGTGCCTCCTGGAGCATCCTGCGAACTCCCGGAGCGGTCCTGCTTGTGGCGGGCCCTCATCTATATAGTGTTTGGCGCCGCTAAGTTGGTGCAAATATTTTGGCATGTTCCCCCTTCTCGTTCTCTTTCGGAGCCGGGGGACGAGCTCCGTCAGCCCAGGAAGGCCCAAAGAGGCCTCGATGATGGCCCCACAACGACGACGACGACGGCCCCCCATGATCCCCATAACCCCTGTAACCTCTTCAATGATCCAACCAATGTAACCCCGACCCCTATTCCTCCTCTGACCCCTATAGCAGCAATAATCCAGGTAGCATCCAGAACCTCCATGGACTTTATAGTCATCATGAACCCTACGACCCCTTTTATACCCCTTTATGGTCCATATAAGCCCTATAACCTCTATCTTCACTATCATCTCTGCCACCCTCATGGTCTCTACATAATTCAACGAGTCCAGTAGCCCCTATGACCACTAGGTCCCAGATAGCCCTCTAGACCGCATAACCCCTATGACCCGCATGGTCCCCAGAACCCCTATAACGCCTGACCCCTGACGACGACGACGACGAACACGACGACACTCCATTAACCTCCAAAAACCTCTATATATACATATATGTATATGTCGTGTGCAACCGATGGTGCCGATAACTCTCTGAGCCGTATAACCTCTCAAAGCCATACGACACCAATAACTAAGTAAGCCCTTTAACCGTTGTAACCCCTACGACCCCCATGAACCCTGGGACATCTGTTATCACGAATGGGCCCGAATAGCCCGAATAGCTAGAACATTCCGAATAGGAATACCCCGAATCCCGAATGGGCCTGGCGCACACAACACTCCGTTTGAGCCGAGTAGCCCGAGTAGCCCGAATGGGCCCAGATGGGCCAAACGCACGAGACATTCCGATTGACACGGAAAGCCCGAGTGGCCCGAAGTGGCCCGAGTAGCCCAGATAGCCCGAGTAGCCCGAACCCGAACACGAATAGCCCGAATAGCCAGCATGGGCCCTGCGCGCGGAACTTGCCGAATGACCCGAGTCGCCCGAGTAACCCGCATGGGACTGGCGCGCGAAACTTTCCGACTCAGCCGAGTAGCCCGAGGAGCCCGCATGGGACCGACGCGCGAGACATGCTGGAGCAGCCCGAGTAGCCAGAGTATCCCGAGTAGCCCACATGGGTCGGTCCAACGCACGAAACATTCCGGATTGACCCGAATATCCCGAATAGCCCGAAGGGGCCCGAATATAGCCCGAATCGCCGGAACAAAAACCCGAACAGCCCGAACAGGAATGGCCAGAATCCCGAATGAGCCCGGCGCACCAAAATTCCGATTGGGCCGGGTAGCCTGAGTAGCCCGAGTAGCCCACATGGGCCCATCGCACAAGGCATTCCGACGGACCCAAATAGCCCGAATATCCCGGGTGGGCCCGAATAGCCCGCAGCGAGACCCTATTCGAGCTGATTGGGCTATTAGGGTCAGCCCAGGTTTCGGACACGCCTGTTCAACACACTGCAGAACACACTAAATACATGTGTGCCTGTTGGAATGCTTCTCGGACGACCGGGGGACGCCTTGGGCCGCTCGTGCGCCGCAGTGGGGCCAGTCTTCGGGCCAATCCTGATGCCACTTCGGGCGTCCGGGAGCGACATCGGGGCCCTCTGGAGCCGTGGGGGCCAGCCCAAGACCAGCACAGGCGAGTACACTGAACTCGCCAGACGAAAAAAACAACTGCGGGAACGAACGTCCACACCTTCGCCTGTTGGAGGCCTCTCGGGAGCGCTTCGCGGGCGGCCGCTGGCCGTCTTTGGGGGGGCATCGGGGCCGCGCTGGTCCCGTCTGGAAGCCTGGCCGACGGCAGGGAACGCCCGAGCCGTCTTTGTTGGAGCCTGGGGGGAGCCTCGCGGCGAGCGGCCCCGCGGGGGGCAAGGCAGGCTGCTGCGCGGAGCCCTCGGCCTGGGTCCCCCATGCGTGCACGTGTCGGCCACGGTGGGCCCCAAAAGAGAAGGTTGCGGAACCCTCGATGTGCAGCCGACGTGCTGCAAGCTCTGCGACGCCATCTGAATGTAATGTACGTGTGAGGAGGAGCAGGAGGAGGAGCAGGAGGAGGAGGAGGAGGAGGAAGAGGAGGAGGAGGAGGAGGAGGAGGAGGAGGAGGAGGAGGAGGAGTCGAGGAGGACAGGAGGCCAATAGGTTTATTGTCCGTGACGTATACCTCCACAGGAGACATATTGTGCGCGTGATTGCGCATAGGAGCACGGGAAACCAGTGGCTCGGGCACAGCAGCCATGCCATGTGCTCTTCGACTCGCCGAGCAACCACATGTGCGACTTCGCACCCAGTCGGAAACGTGCCGCAGGATGTCTGTCGCCTAGCCGGCTCAACGGACGTGCGCTTCTTGGCACGTGCCCGGGCGCCTGCCCGTCAAACTGCCTTCTACTGCCCACTCGTGCGCCTCGGCACCTGGTCGAAAAAACTAAAACTAGCGGACCCCAGCAGGATCCCCAGACCCCCCACGTCATGATTTTCCCACGACGCCCATGAGGTTTCGACCTATTCCCCGGGGCGGGGCTTTCAT